CCATGCTGTATCGTCAATTGTAATTTGCAAGACGATAAAAATCTGTTGAACGTAAGAAGCAATTAAATTCGCGCTTAATTAGAATCCCCGTAACAAGTCTTCGATACAGTTTTAAAGTGAAACAGTTATAGAATTTATTTCTCACTTCGAACAAATGTACTAAAGAATAAAATTCATCAATAATTTTAACGTTTCACTAAAATATTTCATCAAGAAGATCATAATATTTAATTATTATACTTTTTACTATTGAAACATTCTTCCACAATATTCACAGGATAGTCGTTTTAAAGGAAGCAAAGGAAAATGGACTGGTTGACGTTAATGCAAAATCAGAGTGTAAAGTAAAATTACAGTTTTAAGCGAGGTGGCGCGACAATCGCTACAAAACGGAACCGTCTTCACAGGTACATAATGAAGATGTATATTCATTTGTAACGGTAGTGTTCATTAAAAAGGAACTTCCTCGTTTTTCTGCCACGTTAAGGTTCATTTAAGTTACAAATACTTCACCAAAGAGGAAAAGAGCTTCTATAACGAACAATTTAAAATTGTATTTCGTTGAATTTTACTAAAACAATCATCGTAAAAAGGTTAGGAAATTTTCATTTCAACTTGACGAAAATATGATTGTTAGATTTTCATTTTAATTTATAATTTGTACCTGCTTTAATAAATATGAGAGATGAAATCAATAAACGATATTAATTTTAATTGATAAATTATATAAATAGCCTTAATATGACAATAAGTACAATAAGTTCTCAGAATCACAATTTGATCTATACTACGAAACAAAAGACTTACAAGGTCATGTTGAGGTCTTATCGAGGTTATGTCAAGGTCAATAAAGTACAGTTTTCTCTTTTCAGATTCTTTTCTGTTGATTGATATTATTAACGAAAGTAAGGTATTACCAGAAAGTTTTCCATGCCTGTATCGATTTTCTCCTTTTTCGGCACCCTCATCGGTTCGACGTCTGGCGTCCACGTAATGAATTTAAACATTTCCGGATTCCGCCGTATCATTTCCCTCCACATGAGGTCGCACATTGTGCGCTGATAATCCAGGCAAATTTCTTCCATTAGCTAAAAGACAAAGCAATTAACAAGTGACGAAGAGAGGGAAATCAATAGAACAAAAATTTTAATTGCCTGATAACTGCTACTTTATTAATTTAATATAAATAACACACATTAAAATAATTTTGATATAAATTATATACACTTAATTTTATTTTATTTTATTATTCCAGGAAGTTTTTATTCCAGACGGTTTAATAGCATTTTGGTAATAAATTAGTATCGTAATTTTAAACTCCCGAACCTTTAACATAAATTTCTAACCTAATACCATACATGTACATTACAGGTTATTATACATTGTAAATATGTCAAACTGTACTTGAAATATAGTAATAGAATGTTTAAACATTTTTAACCTCAATTTTTCAAGCAATGTTTCCAAGAATCTCAACGCACCCTTAATGCTTTCGTGTGTTTATAATTGGAACAGTCTCTGATTAAACGCAGGATAATCTCCTTTTGTTCTTCGTGCAGCGTCTCCATGCCGTCCGTTTGCATACAGTCCAAATAAAAATTATACCTACGTAAACCCTTAAAGATAATATCAGAAATATCCTCAATACAGTAAATCATTTTTGTAATGATAAAAAAATATATTTTTTTGAAAATTTAGAATTCCTATTTTCTGTTTGCATTGTTTTAAAACGTCAAATCACAGAAATCTCTTTAATGAATCCGGGGACAAGGGGAATTTGAAGTTGAGATGAAATAAATTGAGTCTCTATGTTACAAAATAATTTTTTAATAAAAATAAAGTGAAAATTGTTTTTTAGACTTCACCAGATTAACCCAGGGTTAAAAATGGTATTGTAACTTATTTGTACCCATGACCAAACAAACTCTTACTAAAAAAATTTAATCTCCTAATTAAAAATTCAATTACTTTATAGAAGCTTGAGCGATCCGCCTCTGTTCTATTGCTGCAGCTAGCCTCTTGGCAAAGATCCTCGGGTCCTCGGCGTAAAATCTTATGTAAATCCTTGGAATTGAATACTTCCGCTTTAGGCCATCGAGCGTGATCACGTTCCACAGCTTCGCGTTACTGTCGTAGTCGGTAACGGCAGCATTGAACCAACAGAACAGGTTGTTCAAGTAATCATCCTCGAGGTGGAACGTCTCGTCTTGAGATCGAAATCTTGGTACAAAGACAGTAGCTGGCAGTGGATATCGCTCTTCGTCGATAATACCAAGGTTTATCCAGTCCTCCGTCGTTCTAAGACAAAGTGAAAAATTGATCTATACAGGGTGTTCCATTAATCATGATGCAATCAGCAAAAGGAATAGATTGGAATACATTGTTCAAATTTAGAAATGTTCAAGGATTTCAGCTTATATACAGGGTGGTCTAAAACATCTTCTTGAAATTAGGCCTATTTCGATAATTAGATAACGATATACCTTCTACTTTGAGAAAAATATTGAAACTAATGTAAATGTAATTTTTCACGTTCAAGGTCATGAAAGTACATCTTGCTGAATTTTTCATAAAATCCTCTATAATACTATTTCAAAATAATTAGGTGTTATTTCATAAATTATAAAAGAAAAGCAAAATTTAACTTTTTTTTTTAAGTTTCATTCTGTTGGTAACACACCTACAATCGTACTCCTCGTCATCAAATATCTCCAGAGACAGAAAATGCGCCGTACTGAACAAGCCAAATGTCTCCTCGTAAGACAGTAGTGGCAATATGGCGGACGGTGGCAACATTTCCTTCGGCGTAACTCCTATCGCCTCGAGGGCGTCCTCGATCTTCAAGTTTCTGTAAATTCTGCGTCGTCTTTCCATCTCCACGTTTCGAGGGATACGTTTTGGTTCGACATTCAGTTCCATTTGCACTTTTGGGACGAACGTTTCCCCAGGAAATGACTTTGGTGATAATTTATTTTATCGCTTCGTGCAATATGCAAATTGTCGCAGAATAAATACACAAACAAGTAAAAAAATGCAGAAATTTCAATCTCCAATGAATTTTTAGTTTTCACGGATAAAATGGAATAACAATAACAAAGGATTTAAAACCTAACCTATTTTCGAGTAAAAAAGCAAACATTACTCTTATAAGCATTTTATGTTTTTTATTTATCATTGAAAATTTTCTTAAAAATTCTTTCTCAATTCTGGTTTGACGAATAGCTCGGAAAATTCTAGTTTGCAGTATCTTCCACACGATTAAACGAAAAAGTATGCAACTTTATCGAATGACGCGATCGTATTCTGCAGTAGCTTTTCCCGATAATTCGCTACTTTGCAACTTCTCCAATTATTCTTTATTGCTCACAATTGATCGATCCTCCGCAAAACTTATCCATCTTTTAGCTTGACCGAGGAAGGTATATATCTGCTGATCGTGTAATTGTCGAACATGAGCGCTATGATGCTCGGTAGAAACTTGCCAAGCAAGTTTCGATCTTCTCGGCGCTGTCGACAAAAGAACTATCTCTGGTCTCACAGGATGCTTTTTTGTGCCTGTAAATACATCAATTGTTTTCAGTGTTGACCATGTGTTGGTAAACGACATAAAAGTTCCTTCACATATTTTGTACATCTATGTGTAAAGTTAAATGAAGTAAAAACGTAATGTATATAAATGATAATAATTAATTGTTATTCACTGTTTTTATCGATATACTTCGGTTTGCCAAAGTTTGAGATATTTGAACAAATAATTGATCATTACTTACCTGTGACGATTTCAGAATAATAACCTCTCTTTTTAACTTTGTGTTCCTCCATATTCTATCTCTTTTTAGTATACTTATACAACTTATTTACATACTAACTTCTTAATTATGAAAATATTAAAATATTATTTTATTGCCATTAAAATTGATACAAAAATTATACTTGACATTTCTATTATGTGAACTCTTCTTTAATTATGAACTTGTCTATTATGTTACGCATATATTTCTTCATCTATTGTTTTAACAGATACTTAATATAAATTCTGCAGATAGTTTCAATGGCTATTTCGATTCATGCTACTGAATAGAATTTGTTTTGTAAATTTAAAAAACAATTTTTTATGCAGATTGTAATGTTATCGACATAATGTTTTTATCCGTAATTCGTATTTCAATTGGCTAAGGTGAAAACTATTGTACCTAAGTGATGTTTTTAATTATCAACTGTTGGTTATGTTAGGTTTTGAAAAAATGCTACAAGGAGAAATGCTGCGTCGGTAATGTTGCCAGCGACATTACACTCGAATAGTATATTGTTTTATTAAATTTTATTACTAACATGAATAAGATTAATCTACTTCCTCTAAACAATTCATATATATTATATTTATAATGTTGTTTGTTTTAAATAAACTCACATATTTACTTTTTATATTTCTATAATTCTTACATTGTCTTCTCTACACATATAAATCACTCTACTTTTCGTGATCATATCAACTAACAACGTCAACAAGTACCATATTTCACGATATGTATCTTCATAGTTCTTATCATGCATTTATATTTAATCGGTTGCAACATCTGTCTGTTACATAGACCATGCCTTAATAACATCTTGATAGATTCGCGCGATTGGTGCTGCTACCTGCAGGAATTTTAATGGCACTAATATATGTTTATAGTTAAATATTGCAATAAAACTAATTGTAAGTAAGCAGTTATAAATAAACAGCAAAGATTAAATAATAAAAAGAAT